GAGTCGTGCGCCTTCACACTAGAGTTTACGTTACGCCAAATACACAAACACAGGTGCGCTGTGCATCCATTCAAATGAACTGAAAAATATCAGATCGCTTGACGGAGAGTGAAACCCTGAAGCGCTCAGTCAGAGTGTTCTGTGAGTGAAAATATATCCGTGCTAATCATATACTCAGCATCCAACTCGCACACTGGCGAGTAAAATCTGAGAATTGATTAGCCATTGGCTAATATTACACATTTAGTAGCCCAGAGTGAAGATTTAGTCGCATATACGAGTGATTTACTCGCAATGTAGAGGGTTGACAGTCTATGAGCACGAAGCGGGCACATTGTAAGAGCTTCGTGTTAAAAACTGCAAAGCACAAAGGGAAGAGAAATTGATGCGTAGTGTATTATATCTGTGCAACAGTTATTGAGCCTTTCTTTTAACAGTTTTAAATTTCAGTTACTGTGCACGTTAAAAACAATTTATAGTCTTTTCTACGCCCGTGTTTTGTTCTCACAGACATCCGGTAGCAAGAAACAAAACATTAAACTCCGGCAAGAAGATAAAGTCCTTTTTGCAAAATCATAGACATGTATTTACAAATCAAGTATAATGGAAACACAGATTGATCTTGGAGAGAGCTTTACCGAGCTGACTGCTGTAACCGAACGCGACCAGGGTTTTAAAGGCTGAACGAATGACTGACAGCCACAGCGGAGAAAAGAGTTTGTGTTAACTTTAATGTAAGGACTTAAATATTCATATGTAGCTCACATTAAGCTATCATATGGCTTCAGAAGTAACACCGAATAATTCGCACAATCGGGAAAAAAAAAAAATAAAAATCTGATTTGGATTAGCTCTCTCTGACTGATACCCGATATGAATATCGGATCGGCGCATCCCTAGCTGTTTATCATATTTGCGGAGGGGCTAGTAAAATTGTCAGTAGGGCCAGTGAAAAACCGATCTACAGGCTTGACCAGGCCTTCAAAAATTCTTGTTAGTCTTTTGACCTCTACTAATAATATTGATGTTCATTAGCCTGTTATGTTGTTTAAAACAAGCTTAATATGAATTATTCTCTCTTTCTCTCAGCCAGTGTCTCTGCAGGAAGCCAAACTCTTGTTAAAGGAGGATGATGAGCTGATAAAGGAGGTGTATGAGTACTGGAGCAGGAAGAGGAAAGCATGTCAGAGCGGCTCTCTCATTCCTGTCGTCAAACAGGAGAAGCGTGATGGCTCCAGCACCAGTGACCCATATGTGGCCTTCAGGCGCAGAACGGAGAAGATGCAGACACGAAAGGTAAGAGGGCAGTGCTCAACAACGAATTGGCTCTGCTTATGGAATGACAAGAGAATCCATTCGCACATTATCTTTATCCACAGAATCGTAAGAATGACGAAGCTTCTTACGAGAAGATGCTGAAGCTGCGTAGGGACCTAAGCCGAGCCGTCACAATCCTGGAGATGATCAAGAGACGAGAGAAGAGCAAACGAGAGTTGCTGCACCTCACACTGGAGATTGTAGAGAAGAGGTGCACATGAACATAATTTATTCTGTCATGTGTTCCTGTGATTATATACAACCTGGAAATATCAAGAAATGTTGACTTATTTATGTTTGACCAAATAGTTCCTTTTTGTTTTATCTTTATTAA